TTAAGTATGATACATGCATCTATCTACAGTTTGGTGAGCGCCAAACAGATACTGATCGCGAGTGCGGATTAGTTGTAGATGAAATGAGCATAACACCTGGGCATGTTTTTGATCCTTCAACGAACAAAAGGCTTGGCGATGTAACTTTTCCACATACAGAAGGTAAAGCCACGCATGCTCTAGTGTTAATGTTAACTGGGACAGCTTGCAGGTGGAAGCATGTCGTAGGCTATTACTTTACAGGGAATTCATTTGATAGTGAAACTTTAAAAGAAATTATGTTCCAGATCATACACATGTCTGAAGCAATTGGTCTTCGCGTCAATAGTATAACTTCCGACATGGGTTCCGGGAATATGGGGGTATGGAAATCTTGTGGGATAAGCACGGGTCGGTATTCGAAGGTAACTAGTCGCATCGTACACCCATGCGATCCTAACAGATTTTTATATTTCATAGCCGATGTACCGCATTTGCTTAAAAATTTGAAACAATCATTACTCAGTAACAAATTTTTTACCATACCTGAGGAATTTGTTATTAAGTATAATTTACCATCCGATAAGGTCAAAATTGAACATTTCGATGAATTGATTAGGCTACAGGAAGGTCTAGAATTTCTTCTAACGCCTAAATTAGATATAAGGAATAATAATACTTTTAACAAAATGCGAGTGGGCAAAGCGAAGAATATGTTTTGCCCAAACATTAATACTTCGTTTTTATTAGTGGCCGATGAAAACCAAAAACCGGAATATATTACCACTGCATGGTTTGTGAAAAATATATCTAAGTGGTTTTCATATATGACTTCGAGAAATTGTAAAATAGCGCTAGGCAAAAAAAAATGAAGAAATTTACAACGAGAAAATTTCTTTTCTGCGTGAAATGATCAACCTTTTTACTACCATGACAATAGGGAAAAATGAACATTTTAAACCCGTGCAAAGAGGTACGATCATTTCAACAACGTCAGTTATAAATCTCGTGGATTATCTTATAAATAATCGTGAATTTAAATTTGTATTAACTGGTCGATTTACGCAGGATTGTTTGGAAAACCTTTTCTCACAACTGTGTCAAAAAAATGTAATTCCAAATTGTTTACAATTCAAGAACAATTTGAAAATAGTAGCTATGGTAATGTACTTGAAATCAATATCAAAGAGTAATTACGATCAAGATAATAGTGAATTTTTTTCTGGTTTTTTGGATTATTTAAACGACAAATCAAAAATGACTACAAAAACAAATTCGGTTGAATTATCGCCATCTGCTTCAGCTGCTTCAATCATTGATCACATTCCACCATTTGATTATGACAATATAATTGAATACAATAACATAGAGATGAATTGTTTGTACAACCTTGCAGGATACTGTTTGAAAGCTGTTCAACGGTCAACAATTACATGTTGTAAATATATACAATCTGCAGGTTCTAAAGTACCAGTACAGTTTAAATTTTCTAAATTAATACGTTTAAAATGCTACAATACTAATACCCTGCACTTTGTTAATGAGGAAACATTTTGGGTATTCTTAAAATTGGAAAATATTTATCGACATTATCAACGGTATTTTTCAAAAATGCGTGACGTTAATTTGCTAAAATTTTTGTTTGACAAATTTTGTTCCGTTCCAGCAGATCACATCTTGAACTGCCATAATTTGCGCCAAAAATTATTCAAAAGGTTTGCTACGATTAGATTGAAATTTAAAAAGAAACATAGAGCTTCATCATTGCGTTTTTACAATAGTAAATCCATGGCTATGCACTATTCTTTTATGTAAACGGTATAATTGATGATATAGTAACAATAATATTAATGGTGGCTACTTTAATGCATTATTGATATGTATTGATGCTTCATTTGTATCTGAATATACTTCGTATGGTAAAACATAAAATCTTATAGGTTTGCTAACAAAAGTTTATTTTTTATGTCATGTATATAATGCGCTATAGGTACTGCCTAGTTGCAGATTTCTTAACGTATTAGGAATCGGTTTTCCATTACTCTTGTAAAAAAAATTTAATTTAAGAGAAAGTACATAATATGCGATATATTCTGTGTACATGCGTCTTCAGTAATAATATAAATAAACAAGTTAAAAGTGTAGCATGCTATGTATGTGAAGTATATGTGTATTTATCTTACAAAATTATATTTCTTTTTTATATGGAATACGAATATATGTTAACTCTTATAAAGTGTACATACATGGAAATAAATGTCTCAGGATTGTTTACGCGTCATGTTTACGATTCATTTACGCAATGTACTATTTAATCAGATGAGTATTAGATGATGATGTAATTTATTATACACTACAGACATAATTATATTGGCATAAAAATTTTTCTATTTATTATTACTCTTACATACAACCTAATTAATTTGCTTTCTTTATAATAACACGCAAAAGTATTTGACAATATGACTTGAATGACCTTTAATGTTTCGTGGGCCATGTCGTATCCTGATTTTGCAGATTTGTTACTTTAGTACAAAAGATCTATAACTTGTAGATTTCATAAAACATTTCTCGATGTGAAAATATACATAATGTGTCATTATATGTATGTTGATGCGTGATATATACTCTATACTGTGATATAAATTAAAATATATATCTCTCTCAAAAACATATAGTTTTAACATGGATAAAATTATTAATTTTTTATTATTTATTAATGAAAGTTTATACAAAGGTTATGATCTTAGAAGATCGAAATCGACAAAAATACGTTTAATCAGACCACGTATAAATTATTTGGTATTTTTTGATAATAATTATTCTAAAAAAAGATTTGTAATGTTAAAATACAGCTATTCATGAAGTGGTACGTCACGAAGAGGTAGGTTAAATGTGCGCATGCGTCAACCGAGTGAGACGGTGAGCATATTGCTTTCTCACTCGTGTGATTCCACGCATAAATGGCGACCATCCAGTTGTGGCCAGACTCTTATTAGAGGGTCTCTAGGTTGTAATTAACGATTTTTTGGTTATTTCCTGTTCCTATTGCCTGTTGCCTGGCATTGTGCAAAGGGCTTTAACATCGGAATAGAGTTCCTATAAGAATTATAGAAACTCTGCATCGGAACGCACGATGCTGCCATCTATGCGTCGCGCCCGCGACCGGTGAGATCACGGTCGTGAAAATTTCACGGTCGGTCAAGAAAATTTTAACATTTAGACGCACGATTTTTTACTGTGTAACTGCAAATAAACAAATTATTTATCTCCGCGTCGACCGTTATCTGCGACTTCGATGGCTATAAACTAAGTAAAGGAATTTGTTGCTCGGGTCTTTTTATTATTTAAATATTTTACGGACCGTGCCCTATCACACTAAAAAAAAAATTTTTTTATATTTAAAAAGCCTTACTTGAATATTCCTAACAACATATTTACTTAATATAATCACATATTTATTTAGAATTAGATATTTTTACTTAATTCAAGTAAAAATATCTAATTCTAAATAAATATGTGATTATATTAAGTAAATATGTTGTTAGGAGTATTCAAGTAAGGCTTTTTAAATATAAAAAAAAATTTTTTTTCAGTGTGATAGGGCACGGTCCATAGAATATTTAAATAACAAAAAGATGCGAAAAAAAATATACAGAGTGCTCTCTCAAATGGAATAAACGTTTATACCAGAATTTGTTGCTATTTTGTTGCTTTAAGATAGCGTAAAAACATTTTGGAAATATAACGTTGTTTAAGATGTAGTCAATATAGTGCTATTTATTAGGTATTCGGATATACGTATTTTCTATAAAAACGTAAGTGGCGTCCACTGCCGTACTGCCGAGCCAATGCCGGATAAAATTCGGACACTGCCTTAGCAATGCTATGCAATACCTCCTGCACTGCCACTGCCACAAGTCATTATTACCACTCCCCATAATGCCGTCAATATTATAGGCCACTGCTTACTTTTTTCAGTCCACTGCCAAAATTTTGTACACCAATGCCGGCTGTGAATTTCCCGAAGACTTTATATAAACAAATCTTTTTATTTAAATTGATTTTATGTCTCGCAACGATATAAATACATTTTTAATAATTAATTTAAAGT